GGTCAAAAGTTGTCTAGATTTTATCCAGGCTAATTTTGAAAGTAAAAGTTCTTGACACATTACTGTCTCTTCCTCGACTGAAATCAAGTACTCAAAAGCAGTTAGTTGTATGTTCTCTGTAGTAGCACAAACCGTTTGCTGACAGCAAAAAGCATACAGAAAACATTCCATGGTCACTGGACCTGTTATGTAATCTTAAACAAAGGTATGCAAGTAGGAAAAGGCATCCTGTGCTTAATACAGTTAATTAGTTTTACCTAGAAAACGACCAAGGATTGGTAAAGGATTGCGAGTAAAAAGCACTATATTGTTGCCTTTTTGGGGCTTACTGGACTGTAAGACAGTTATGAACATTAGCTGGTTATATGTTATGGAAGTAAAACTATTTAGGGTTCAGTACACTGTGTGTCCAGGATACAGGAAGTTTGAAAAGAAACACATGACATTTTATTGGCCCCACAAAGGAAGGGAACGGGTGAACCTGCTGCCAGAGGCCTTGTGTACACGCATCTCTCCGTTTCCTGTGAGTGAAAGAGAGGAACAGGAAGGCAGAGAGAGAGAGATAGAAAATCAACTCGGGGGATCAAATGACAACAAACAGATCACACAGGACTGGAGGTCCCTTTGAACCTTCCCTGTGCGGAAGTCAGCTTTTTTTTTTTTTCCCTGTGCTCGCTCCCTCTTTCCCCTCACTTTTTTCTTTTAATCCACCGCTCCCCCTTCAAACCGGAGATAAGCTTTCAACACGCTAAGCCCTGTAAAAACAGGCCACGAGTGTTTAAGCTGAGACCAGCCTGCAAAGATGTCCCAGCATGCTATGCAGCATCAGGCTATTGCTGCTCAGGTCAGCCTGTCCCTGAAAGAATGAGTTTCCTCTGGTTGTGTGTCATCGATTAGTCCTCATTGTGTGCTTTGTTGTTGCAGCAGTTATTATGGGAGGATGCAGCGTGTAAAGTTGACTAATGAAGAGACATGATGTTTGCAAGTTGAAAAGGTCACAGGCAGGTATAATTATAAAATGGACCTCAAACAAATGGGCAGACCTGCTGTCTACCCACTGGGCCAGAGTTGTGTAGATTGCTGGTTCCCAGTCCCAGTAAGGTCGCAGCAAAAGAATAGTGGTCACAAGACAAGGTTATAAAGCTGAAAAAAGATTTCTGCTACACAAATTGTGTATTTATGTTTGTTTTTCAAGACATTTTTTCTTGTGAACTACTGGATTGACTGAATTCATCTGAATTTGACCATTTTAGGCCTCTAAAAATAGACCTAGCTTTGGTTTAACAGAGATTCCCCAATTCTAGTGTTGTAGATCACTAGTTTTTGGTATGTTTCATTACTATTGATAAAGAATGTGATATTTCAATAATATTATGTTATTATATATTATAAAGTACAACTGATGCATCAACATTTTCAAAGCTAACTAATGCCAAATTTTTATATTGACATTACCAAAAATTTAAATGATTTGTGACAGGTGCTTGGATGCTGCTTATAGGTCACTGTGGGATACATTTGCTAACTGTTTGTACAGTAAGTCAGTTCCGGATGCAGGCCATAAAATACTGCCTTCTAACTGTTACAATTTGCACCACAAGATGTATACTGTGCATATTTGCCTCCTCTTTGTAAAGAGCAGGGATTGTATTTTACCAGATCAGCACTAATAACTTTAACTGCCAATCATGTAAAAAGGGAAACCTGTTTTGTTTTTTATGAGCGGGGCAACGGAAGCAGGCTGTTAAACCATTCTGGCAAACGGGCGTCTTTTTTCCGGCTGAGGAAAACTCAAACAGAGATATAAAAAACAAACAGAGGAGCCACTAGTTGAACAGTGTGCGGGTTGCACTATTTACCTGCCCCCTTCTGCACCTATTTGAACAGGTGTCACTGTGAGTGTGAAAAGGTGTGCACATTAGATAAACTACAATCGATTACTGTTGAGGTCATATTGTGAGTTCAGTGACACTCACCGTAACTCAATAGGCGTGAGTCTTCCTCTCCTGCCTGTCTTCCTCCTCTTCTTGTTCTTTTTGCTCGTTCCACCCCCGTCCTCCCTTGTCCCTGGCCTCCGTTTACTGCCTCATCCCCTAAGGGGGTCAAGGGGGAATTTCCGGAAAAGATAATCAGCGGAAAAGGGAAGAGGGGAAAGAGGAGGAAGATGAGGACGAAGAAGAGGAGGGTCTGTTGATTCAGTTGGGAGCAGAAGGCAATGTTTACCTTCCGTCGGCTATTAGGCAACAACTTTACCATTTTGAGTAAAATGGTGGTAGAAAGGTTGTGGACAGTTATTAGCTTCTGAATGCTAGCATTAAGAAGCCAGAATTTACTTGTCAGAAAACCTGAAGCAACCTCGAGAACCCTGGGGGACACTGACACTTTCCACTGAAACGCAGACTAACAAAATTCTTCTAGAATGAGCAACTCTTTGAAAGAAGGGTGACTTGTCTGATTTATTACGCTCAACTTTTAAACGAACCGTAGACATTGTTCAACAATTAAAGAGCCGGTACACCCTAAATCATTACAGATAAAACTGTTGATTGTGCAATCCGTAGAGTATTGTTTCTTTACTGTTAACTTTTTGAATGTAATTTTTCAAAGAACCACAAGCAAATTCCCAATTACCTTCATTGTGTTGGGGTGAGGGCTGATGTCTCAAATCCTTGACAAATAAAACCAAAACAATTTGCAGTGGAAGATACCATAGAGGTATGAGAGAAAATGTTTTTTTATTTTGTAATTTTGGTGAACTGACCCTTTAAATGAACAAATCTGAAAGAAATTAATATATCTATGCAGACAAAGACCAGAAGAAGAATGATATCTAATAAAAGGTAAACATCATCTTGATAAATCAATATATATCTCTCTAACACTAACAGATATCAGAACATTGCTTCCACGAATACTTCCACAGTCTGTAAACTCATGGACAAACAGGTAAAAACAAACAAACACAGTTCAGTAGGAAACTGTGAGCATGCATTCGCCCGAGGGCAAGTCAACAGCACCGGCTGTAAGAGCTCCTTCCTCAATATCAACAGGAAACCCCTTCTCCAGGAAGCTATTAACAGGTTATGGGATCATGTTCACAACGCACTAAAGAGACACAGACCCACGCACAAGGATTTACACCGCTCTGGTGTGTTAAACAAGGCCTGTGTGCACTTAATTAATGAGATTGAGTCTGAAGTGGAAGTGAAGGTGGAAATTGGTCATTAAATGTTCGCTCGTGTCTCTCTCTCCTGCTTTTGTACACAAAAAGTTCATTTGTGTGTTATTGAGTGGCCATGTGTATGGAAACAGTCTGAGGCCTTCAGGGGACATTGCTGCAAAGTGAGGTCATTCTGGCTGATTTTTAACCCTTCAAGGAGTCACTTTTGGTTTCACATACATATTGAGATAGCATCATTTTATGGTGTTTACTGTATTTCAAACTTTGAGGGCTTCTTGTTTGTGTTCTCTTTCTGGAGCTTTCAAGACAAATGAGTAAGTGGGGCTTGAGTCAAGCTCAATAACGACATTTTGTCATATAGTCTTGTCACTTTCCTTCTGATTGACATTTCTGAGTTCCATCTCTAAATAAAGGTTAGAATAAATCTTCAATAAGTTATTTCCTACTTTTGCCAGAATACTTTTAAGATAATTGGGGGGAAAATTGTATCATCTGTCTGAATACAAGTTTTGTGTATTTTGATGCATAATAGCAGAGCACAGGTACCTGAAATGGAAATGAAGCGGATTCTTTACTCTCACTTTACTCTTTAAAATTAAATTAATATTTGTAATTTGTTTAATATTGTTATTTAACAGAACAGACAATGGTCAATGGTAAATGATGTTTCAGTATCACTAAAATATTTGAAGTTTTGAAGTGATCAAATTAAAATAGCTGTGACAAATGTGGACATTTACATTTACGTCAGGCGAGTTGTCCAAAACTGCCTTTTTACTAGTGTTAAAGGTCCAATTTGCAATTTTCAATCATATAAATCTGATAAAAATCCAGGACCATAATTAGATCAGCATCAGAAAGGAGTAAGTAGCTAGAAACTTAGATTAAGTTTTTGTCTCATTGTTTTCCCAATTATAGGAAGAAAAATTTCCTCTATAAAACAACTGTGTGGATGTTGCTCAAAAATTATTCCGATTTTTATTCTGAAGTCAACGTTTCTGTGTTTGTTTTAACCCTTTAACCCCAGGTCTTCCACAAGCCTAAGAGAACTGGTCCCCTCTCTCAGCAGGCCGCACCACTTTATGTAACCGGGAGGGAGAGAAAAGATAGGAGGAGGAAAACCAGTAAAGCCAGAGAGGAAGCGAAGGATGTGGTGGGGAGAGCAAACGACAGCCAATGAAGAGCACCCCCTTTGTGTGGCTTTTTTACTGCTTCCTCCCGTCCTGGCCACATCGCTTACCACATCTCAGCCACTGGAAAAACACAAACGCTCAGCGAGCACAAGCCAAAACATTTCAGTCACTGGTGGAGACGAGATGGACACGTATCACATGAACAAGCATGACCACATAGGAAGCTATTATATGGTTCTATGGTTAGGGAGGATGAAAATTAGAATACTTAAATTTCAAGTTAAGAGATGAAACTTGAACATGTCACATAAAGTCTTTAGAAAGTAAATTACAATATTTCCCCTTGGCTTTCTATGTCAATTATGAGGCACTTAATCTTATACTAGACCAGAATTAACTTGCAAACTATTTGTGATGTCACAAATTACGTTTGTAGGCCCAGCCCCTTAAAAATCAGATTTTCAGTGAGCACAGAGAAACTTTCCATTTTCAGCAGATGGATGTGAAAACATCCTTCTAGTGTCAAACTCTGCACAGACAGCATTCTGCACAGTGAAGATAAAACATCCAACTGTAGGAACAAGAAGAAAACATATTTTTGAGTGGAGGAGACATTTTCTTGACCTGTGAATGCCGGGGATGTTATCAGCCTTCGTCAAAGATACAAGCAATACTAATAACAACAGTGAGATACAGCATCTAATTTATTCATATAAATAATATCCAATGTGTATTTGAGGCAATATGTAGCACCACTTGGTTTTAAAATGACATGGCATTATGTAAAAATGCAAACAGATTACAATGAAAGAAGTTATTGCAGAAGCAACTAACTGCTAAATAACATGGCAATACACAAATTTACACATGTAAACACACACACACACACACACACACACACACACACACACACACACACACACACACACACACACACACACACACACACACACACAGAGGTCATACAGCAGACAATCACCATCTGTTTTCATAGCTGCAGCTGTCCCGATTGGATGCAACATGTTTATCAACACACACACACACACACACACACACACACACACACACACACACACACACACACACACACACACACACACACACACACACACACACACACACACACACACACACACACACACACTGGAATGTCCCAGCCAGACTGTGCTTGGCTGTACAGCTGGATATCCTTGAGAGGTGATGAAATACATGGAGAATTGTTGCTATTACACACACACACAAAAACTCACTTTGACCCCGGCCCAAATCCTGATTAACCTACTGACCCCCGAGAGAGACCACCAAGGTGGAAATTTAGAATCACACACAGACACACATATTTACATAGACACATACACACACAAGCAGACACTCATGTCCAGCTGTCTTGGGGTCAACCAATACAACTCGGTCTGTGTGTTTGTGCTGCAGTCTGACAAAGGGTGAGGTCGTCCTCAAGTGAAGTGGACAGGTGATCCATCCGTCTCCTCGCTCTCAGTCCTCCGCCTCCCTCCCGATGATTGCACATCACTGAGAATGTGGGATTGGTGGAGGAGACACTCCTTCAGCTTGTCCTCAGTCAGGGTGAGACGCTCCTCCAGCACTGAAACAGTCTGTGTGCATGTAGAGGTGTGATGGGAGGGGGGTACAATAATTATAAAGCTGACATGGAATAATTATAGAAGTAGAAAATCAGAAGAGGAGAGATCAGTCTGAGTTGACATTATGGACAAATAAGTTCTTAGTTAGTTCTTTAGACACATCAGGGCAGCAATATTTTGGCCTGCAGAGAGTAGCTCAGCAGCACTGTTCTGATTCTAAAATTCTACCAAGCCTTTTTAAAGAAAATATTTAGAATGTCTAGATAGTTTTAAAGTTAATTATGTTTTTGTTTTTTTTAAGGAATTATCACTTTTTTTAAAGATGGGAAGCAGAAAATCCACAAAATATTTATCAAATATAAACTACAGCAGCAAATTGATTTGATTTTTCTGGGGAAAATACATCTATTTCTTAATGGGCTTACCATTTTATGTTTGTTGTTGATAAAGACATTCAATGTAAAATATGAAAACATTAAAACAGAGCATCAGAAGTTTTTTTGTATAGGTCAAATTCTGCACTACAGTTACTCTATAAAGAAGATACTTTGCATTTTATACTCATTCATTTTCCCCCCAATTCATCATTTCTTTCCCACACCTCAAGCAAATTGTGTATGGATATTTAAAGAAAGAAAGAACATAAAAAGTTAAACACCAGCCACAAACAATGCTTCATCAAGCTAAATCATTAGCCTACTATATCTCTGTTCTGCTACTAGTGGCACCTGTTCAAACAGGTGCAGAGGAGGACAGGTAAACCATAAAATCTACCTCTGGTGGCTTCTGTGTTTGTTTTTTATGTCTTTATTTGACTACGCCTCAGATGCTGTGAGTTTGGTGGAGGGGATTAATCACCTGCTTCAACCGACTTTCTCATTAATTAATCTACATCTAGCATCAAGGACATTTTGCTTGATACAGAGGACCTTTAACTTTTAACAGTAACCTGTTGGCCCGCCTCCCACACATTCATATTCATTTCTGCATTTTTATGATGTTTTCTGAGATTTCCCAACCTGCCAGTATCTTGAGTTGACAGTTTGGACCGTTACTAATAACTGACCTGCGTGAGGATATCCAGCTGTTGAACAATGTGCCGCAGGGTAGAGTCCAGACCCGATGGTTGACCGGAAAGAACTTCCAGTGGGTGCGTCTGCCCTCTCTCCTCTTCCTCTTCCTTTCTCCTTCCTCTTCCTCTCCCGTCGGCCCCAGTCTGGCTCCTGGCAGTCGCACCTGCCCTACTGGCACTTCCGTCTCCCATCCATCCTTCCACTCTGGAGCTGCCCACGTGCTGCGGGGGCAAACCGTTGGAGTGGTAACTGTTGGCGGCGGCCTGCGTGGGTGTTAATTGTGTCAGACCGGTTAAGAGCAGGAGATGAAAGCAATAGAGAAAGAAAGTAGTGCATTTTCTTTGACTTAAGTGCTCAGGTCTGTACAAATTTTGCTCTATCAAATGCATTATATTCCAGAAAAAAACCCACACTAAGTCACTTAATCACCACTGCGACACCCTGAAATGCCACTGAAAACAATGGGCTATCAAAATAATTCCCCATTAAAGCCGTCTGTAAGTGTCCAGCTTCAACACCCTGCTGGGAATGTACAGGAAGCAAATAGCTATAGGGAACTAGAAAAGGTAAGATCTTTCTGAAGAAAATGTCAGTGTGCGAGACATTTGAAACAGCTCGTAGGTCTTAAAATGTTGATTTTTTTTGGAGAATTTGAAATGTGTTTAACAACTGAAGTTGAAGAAATTTGTGTGGGAGCTGAAGTTAGAGTACTGAAAGAAGATGAAGTGATTCCTACAGTCAAAGTGCTGAATGTAATCAGCTGAAGAAAGGAAAAGGGTTAAAGAGTCACTTTCGGATTATGTTCTAAAAAGGAGTTTGACATGCAAGTTGAAGTGTAAGCGGTAAAATGAGCTGAAATAAATACCAATTCATCCCTTCTTACACAGTTAATGGTATTATTTTTTCAAGCCTCTTTCAGTGTGAACAGGCCAAAAACCATGGGAAATCTATAATGATAAAAAGATAGTTCTAGGAAATGCTCCCAGACCTCTACCAAGGAGCCAGCTCACTGAGGAGTGATGGGTAAAAACTGCAGAATGCAATCCTGATTGGAAGGAAATATTAATCAACTTTAAGCATTTATAGTGTATAGTATTTATTATGTAGCTGCACCGCTGTTGTGAATGTGACACCTGTAGTTACTGGTGGTAAATGTGGCTTAATACTACAGGTCACAGCCTCTTTCCATCATTCTGAGAGCAACCGTGATCTGATTTTATGCTGCATACGGAATTAGTTGGTGAAAGGTCTGGTTACCTGGCTGAGAAATTAGAGGCGTGCAGCGTCTTGCCCTATAATGATAATGTTAACACACCATAAATGGAGCACGAAACATGTAGCCAACTTTATTGCCCTGTTTGAAAAGTACAGGAATCATCGTTGGAGGGAGAATATAGCATTCAAGTATTAATTAGCCAGGCTAATATGAAATAGTGATACATAACTCTGTGCACGATTCGCCAACATCCTTCCTGTCTCATTGTTCTGTCAGTGGAGAAGGCCTTGAGCCTGTTGTAACTTGGCAGACTGAGGGAGGTGGATGACTCACGCTGCTGGATTACTGACTGAACGACAAACTCTGAGACTGACGGACTAACTTGCTGTCTAAAGACAAGTTCACGAGGTCATTTGCGCTCCAAGGCAAGGAGAGCCATAGCCTCAGAGCAAAACAGAGAAGATCTACTTTTTTATGACAGTTTCCCTTTATTGAGTGTTCTTGACAAAATGATTTTCCTTTTCATGGGTAAAGAAAAATACATGTTTAGCCAGACTGAATAAAGAGAGAGGACATAATGTTCAGTTTAACCAGGGAAACATTTCCCTCGTTCATCATCTATTCAGACAACTGAGCATGACTTCACATTTAAATAGTTTTGCACATGCACAGCGGCAGCTTTACAGAACAGCCAGTCTTCTATTGTTGTTGCTGAAGGACACATATACCAACATTTGGGAGTTTGCCAGTCAAACTACAGACTTTCTAGTCAAAAGACTTCTGCTCCAGCTTTGAATAACTTGACAGAGATTTTCAACCAACGTGACAAGCAAGTGAAAAGGAAAGAAAATCAAAAAGTTTCAAAAGGTAAAGTGTATTATATATTGACAAACTGACAGTTAAAAGTCAGCTATAGTAGGTCTAGAAGAGATACACAATTTGTTCTTACCAGAGCCATCTAGCTCTCCCTAGCATTGTTTTTTTTTTTTTGTTGACGGCTGTACTCAGGTCAGTGTCTACAATCTACCCACAGCACAAAAATAATAGTAGGGTCTTGAGGGAAAGGTGGTACATGGAGTGTACAAAGAGGAGCAGAAGGGGGGAATTAAATGAGGGATGTGTCAGGAGGATGGAGGAGGAAGGAAGAGGAGGGTGAAGAGGAGGAGGGTGTCACACATTCCTGGCCTAATGCATGGAGCAATCGATTCCCGCTTGCTTCCTGCGCACTGTCTTCACTTCAAAGAGAGCGTGGAGGGAGGCAGGAGAGGAAGGAGGGATGAAAGGAGGAGTTCATGAGTGTGTGTGTGTGTAAAGAAAGGAGGAGGAAGGGTTACTCTTAACTCCTGAGTAGAGGTGAACAAAGCCGTCAGTGTGCGGATGGCGAGCTTCTCTTGCTATCTATGCTTGTTTCTCTCTTTATTTTTCTTCTCTCTTTATCCCTCCAATCCCCTCCTTCATGGCCACATCTGGCCAACATCTGCTCAGCTCATTTACGCTCAGCAGATGCAGACCTCCATCCCTCTGTAGCTCCCCCCCCGGCCGCCCCGCCAGGAAGTTTGGGTGCAATCAAACATTTAACAGGCAGGGTACCCCGGCTGGCCTTAGTGTCAAATCAATGCACACACATACACATACACACACACACACACACACACACACACACACACACACACACACACACACACACACACACACACACACACAGTAGTCAAAAGACACACTGTAGATAATATGACACTAATGATCCCTGCAGCAGCAGAGAACTGGGAAAATGAAGAGTAGTAAGCATAGCATCTGATTACAGCGAAATGTTAAAAATGATGCAACAAACTCTCATCTAATATAATCTAAATTCTCTACATCTACATCTAAAGATCCAATTGGTAACTTTGGTAAGGTGATACTAGCTCACTTAATCAAATGTACTGACTAAAGCCCCTTTAGGCCAGCACGTTAGACAGAAGCTCTGTAAGGATACTGTGCAAGTAATATAAAAAGAAGTGTAATGGGAAATCAATTATAATACTTTCACGGCACATAAAGCTAAAGCATATCTAAAACCAGAAGCTCATAATTATGAGGGTCATTTCTGAGATAAAATCATTTCTGCTAAGATCTGGAATGTCAGGGTTAGCATGGTCAGTAGTGGCGGGAATGCGGCGATGGCATGCTGCCAGCCAGGGGTTTTTTTGCATGGTGGGAGATGAGTGGGTGGTTAGGTCGGGGTGGCAGAGAACAACAGAGTAGAAACTAGCCGCTGTGGTAATAAGGGGGCAGTGGGAGTGACGTGACTGTGCCCCTGTGATGACAGTGAGGCAACAATATCCACGTTGTCTCTACGTGGCTTTGGGAACGAAAGGTTGTTGTGTATTCTGTGGGATACAGAGGCTTGGTGAAAGGTTACCGGGGCTGGTGGAGGGAAAAAGACAAAAAACTAATATATTTGTTTCAAAATAATGGGTACGCTTTGTGTAGTAGTAAATTATCATGGAAATACAAGAATTGTTTCCACATTTTGCTGCAGTTCTTGTCTTTGCTTTGAAATGTTACTACATGGCAGATAATGGCATGTAAAGTGAGTGATGTCAATTGCTGACGACTCATTGATAACATTGTTGATAACCCTGTGTTACTGGAGCAAATTTACCTAACATGGCAATGTCATTAGAAGAGCAGCCCATGTTAAAATGTTAACAGTGGCTGTGATACTTCACGATCAAAAGGATTCTCAAGAGAAAACAGATCAAAATAAGCCTCCCATCCATTTCTGAATCAAATCACAGATGTCTGATCAAAAACACGATTAGCATGAGTACCAGAATTAGCTGCACTCTCTTTTTTGGCAGCAAACCTCAGATCCTGTGACCCTTACATAAAAAAGCTGTTTGATCTTAATTGAAGGACCTCTCTGATGTTGCGCCTCCCCTCCCCTCACACCCCCACCCCCCCATCCATCCCCTACCTGAAGCCACATACTCATCTTCAAAAAACTGCCTGATCTTTATTACTTAGTATTGAAAATCCTCCTTATGACATTACATCAATAATCCTTCTGTCAGATGTCAGTGCCGTTTAAAAATGACCAAAAATGGTGCATGTTTCTAGTTAAGAAAAACAGTTCTGTTCAAAATCCTCAGCACTCATTTATGTTCAACAACACAGATAGAAGATTTTATCAATAGATGTGACTATTATGCTTCAGGCTTGCTGCAGGTGAGGCTTACTTTTTGAGTAACACTAAATGGCTAAAATCTAAACTGTAAATAGAAATCAGCAGGGTGAGCACTGGGCTGTAAATTGGGAAGAATCTGGCAATACAATGTATATAATGATACAGGGGTTTCTATATATTCAATATATATATATATATATAGATATATTGCAATACAGTAAGCAAGACAACATGTTGCGATTTGAAAAAAAATTAAATTTGAGAAAAGAATGTTAAAAAAAGTTTTTTTTTTATGAAACCAGAACAGTGGGATCTGCATTTGTTCATCATTCATCACAGTCTCTGTAACATCCAACATTATAGCTCCCCATATAGCTTACATTTACAACACTGCTATCAAGACGTCAGGGGTCTAAACACAAAAGTCGATAAGTGTTTTTGAGAATCGATACAATATCACAGAACAAAATATTGCGATAATCAAGTGCATCAATATCTTCTTACACCCCTAGTGAGCACACCTCATGAGGTGGTCCGTCATGTTGGTCAGAGCACCCTGTCCCTGTCCCTGTCCATTGGAGAGGACACAAATGGGCTCTCAAGCATCGTGATGTTTAGTATTCACACTGAGCTTCCTGCCCTCATGATGCCAAACACTTGCAAACACTTGTTTACATGCGGACCACAATGCGACAAACATTATAAGCACTACTTAAGACAAGAGCGTGACCGCACAATTTCTATGAAGTGACACTTGACATAATCTATGTGACAAGGGGATTAATGGAGACATTCAAATGGAAATGATGAATAAAATAACCTCTTGCAACAACAGCTGTTCAAGGTTCAAAGATAGCATACAGGTTAAAGGCATG